CAGCCGGTCCGGCCTGCGTTGCTGTGGTCGTGCTGTGTTTGGTTGCAGAGCTGCAGGGCTGGAGGACTCCTCTGGGGAGCCATGCCACGTCCATCCCGCTGCCCGGGCAGAGGCGGGAAGGGCCAGAGCCTGTTGGAAGAAGGAGCTTGCCCAGACCCCAGAGGAGCAGCAGGACCCCGCAACTTTCACTGATTTGGTAGGAAAGGGTGGTGGCTTGTGTTTGAAGAAGCACATGCATCGTCTTGCTGCTCAGAAACTGCTCAGCATCTCAGATGCCCAAACAGTGATTGCCCTCCAGGTTGGCAGCTTGGCAGCCTTCATAATTTATATGAGTGCCCAGTCTCTTGGGCTTCGAGAGGGCTTCTTCCATTGGTTTTCCTTTGGTGCTTCAAAGAAGTCCCAACCCTGCTGCTTTCCAGCCGCAGATGAGATTTGCTCCCGTGCCACGAGCCCTGCAGTTCTGCACATGTGTGGGTTGTCCCCACCAGCTGCCTTCTCTCCCATCCTCCCCCCCCCATCCCGCCTCCTCTCCCGTGGGTCTCAGCATCCCTCCGGTGCCCGGTGGCTCCGGCTCGGCCGGCACAGGGCACGCGGGAGCACGGTGGGGAGGACATTACGCAGGAGAATATGCATGTTCACAGCTCGGAGGATTAAAGGCCCGTGTTCTTATCACTGCAGAACAGAGTATTATAAATCCAGCCTTAGAATACCAAATCCCCGCGCGGCTCGGCCATTGTTTGGGAATATTAAAAAGCTCGGAGACAGAAATAATCAGTTTCCGAATGACACATTGTCAAATAAAACATTTCTCATATTATCCATTCCTTCCCCTTTCTCTCTCCTGCTCCCTCAGTTGGATAATTTAACATGAAAAATAGATTAAAATGAGGCTGGCTTGAATGTCTCCTAAGTTTGACTCGTTTTTTCCCTTTTCCCCAGGAAGCTCTCCTGGCGTGTGCGGCGTGGTTAAACAAGCAGCTGCCGGCGCAGGGTCAGGGACGAAAGGAGCCCATCGAAACTGAGCTGCCCGCTGTGAGCCCATGGGG